GTGGTCACTTCCTTTTACAAACAGCTGCCAGAAGAGATGGTACCCATGTTATATATATTACCTAAGTGCAGGAGTTTTGCCAGAGTGCCACACTTTGTTACTCAACTCTGCTGTGGACTGCAAGCCTCTGCTCATGGAGCAGCTGCTTCAAACACACTTCCTGTCTGTTTGGTCTACTCTGTCTGATCTCCGATCATTTCATACCCTGAAAAGTGTCCCTGAAGTAGTACCTACCAGATATATTAAACACAGTAACAGATTTCTGGCTGTTAGCATGCGACAGGAAGAAATTCCAGATGAGGGCATTGGAGTACTAAAATTACCATTATCCATCATCTTCTGGCAATACTTCGTTTACATAAAAGCAGCTAACCTTCCCTTTTAACCTTGCCTTTTAATATGGGGGGGGGGAAGGAACGGGACAAAAAAGGGGATATCTAACTTTATCACACGCTATCAATTTAGACAAGCACTACTATGGGTTGCACAAGGAAAGTATTAATGCCAATCCCCCATCTGTACTATATTCCCATAGGACTTAACATTTGAAATGATTAAAGCAATTGTTTAAGTCAGAATACAAGGCTAAATCCACAGAGGGGGACAGGTGCCGCAGTGCAGCACTGAATGATGCCTAACATCTGGATGCCCTGCCACCTAGGAAAACATGAAACCCTGAGTTAGGCACCTAGGCTCCCAACGTACTTTGTGTGGAGCCTGACAACTAAGAAAAGGACTCCTAGAAACCAGAATGCCAAGTGGGGGGCCACTAAGCCAGGCCAGGAGGAAAATACAGGAACTGGGGGAGGTTTCAGAAGCTGGCTGTGAGAGAATGACTACAGCCTAGCACTTAGGGCATTCAGCCAGGAGACCCAGCTTCAGGGGAGATAAAAAAAAAAAAATCAACGATTAAAAATAATAATAATAATAAAAAAGCTAATTTTTCATTTAAATGATTTTTAATTGTATTTTTCTGGTTAAGTTTTAAAAAAAAAACCTATATAAACTTTTAATTTAAGATATGTTAAAGCTCAAAAATATCTTCATGGAATAGGGATTATAACTTATAATTATATACACTATTTGAGACAATATATTCATGTAACCTTTTTAGAAAAGTTTTATAAATAGGTCAGAACAGGCTATGGACTATATTAGGGGCCCAATCTTATGGGGTTCTCGGAGGCTCCTCTATAGATTAGCAAAGATTAAAGAAAACCACTCTACCCAGTGGGACTCACTGCTCTGTCTAGAGGATCCCATTAAGCATCTCTGTGATACTTGGTTTCAGTTCTCAAACTGCATTTGTCTCTCCAGAGATAACAACCTTGCTAACAGCAGTATATGGAGATAACAGTTAACAGACATTATGACCCACCCATCAGCTCTCGTCTCTCTGCACGTTTGTGTACGCAGTCAACCCTTACCCTCTCTCTAAAAGTACCAAGTTTCAAGAAGTTAAATGAATAGAGGATTGTGGGGGTAGAGTAGATCTGAACAAGGAGGAGAAGCCTGGAGATAAATGCAAGGAGGGAGGGGCAGTAGAAAGAAAAGAGAAACATTTTGAGCAGTTTTTTGAAATTCCAAAATACTTCTGTAACAACCACTTTGCAGCAGCTGCTTTGAAGAAAGTGGGAGGAACCAAGCTAAATCCCACCAGATATGCAATGGAATCAATAGTGGACTATTTTGAGTGCTACATTGAGACCTGGCCTAATCACATGACAATTTGTGAGCAAAATCATGACAATAGATTGAATGATTGTATCTGAAGTTCTCAACCTTGAGCTAAAGACAAATGTAGAACGTATGCTGGCTATGCTGAAGCCTTGAGCAAAGGTTATAACAAACAACAAGAACACACTGTTGTAGAAAACAATGATTAAATCAAGGCTCCCTGACCAGTGGTTTGAATCGTGATTTAAATCATGATTCAAATCGATTTGATTTAAATCAAATCCACCCTACTCAGCTTCCAATCCAGGCCCCCAATTAATAATATTCAAGTACCATAAGCAAAATAGGACAAGGTCCAGTTGCAGAGGGTGAGGTACACCTATCCAAAACCCACAGCCTAGTCTGGACACTCACTGTAGGAGGATGAAAACCTAGGTTTGCATCCTTGCTCCACACAAGGCAGAGGATGAACTTGAACCTGTTGGTCTTTTACTGCTACAGAGCTCAACAACAGATGAACATTGTTTAAATTTGCCCTTAATCTCCAGAATGGGAGGCAATAAAGATCTTGACAATTCACTAAGACCAACCACCCAGGACCATGAGCAAACTGCTGCCTTTCATCCTCAGTTCTTCTAGCCTAAGGCCTGGGGGGGAATAGGCAGTTACCTTCTTCCAGTGGGTGTTATGAGGATTACAAGTGATTATGGTGTACTGTTCCATGTGCAAAGGCCTATTAATAAAATTACTACTGGAACTCACCTCACACAAACTCAATTGGTGAGAGACTGCTGTGTTTACAAAGAAACTCTATTTCTTTTGAAATATGCAAAGCATTTTAATTCTGTAGACTAGCTCATTTTGTTCTAATTTTACCTTGGCCTACAGGACTTACTGAAACTGCTTGTTCCAGAAATGCAAGGAAAAGAATCCATCTGCCACACAATGAAACAGTTCAAAAATGCACTGTTTGGATACTGAAAATCTAAATAAAGAAATGCAGTTATGGCCAGCAGCTGTTTATAGGAAATGAGCCCTCTCATAGGTTACAGGAACTTGTCCCTGGTGCATAAGAATATTGTTGGAATTTAGGCCAATTTAAATCTTCACGAGTTGCTGGTAGGCTCAGTAGCCACAAGCAGCAATAAAATACATTAAAATTATGATTACTAGAAGCCTTTAAAAATACTTTAAAGCTGGATGCCACTGAAAATCCTATCAAACCTGTATATTTTCACAGACCTGTTTGCTGCTACAATTCAATTTTTCACTCTTACAGTTTATTTCATACTGAAAAATGTCATTAAAATGATGACCTGCACATTCGCAAACTGTTTTTCTTTTTATTGCTCACTTGCGACCGGGGCCTGAAACATTATACTTTGTTTTGCTAGAGTCACAAAATGTGTTCTGAGAAACACATTCTTACTCCTAATTCCTATCACAGAATAATTCCTTTTAGGAGTATAATTACACACATTTTTAAATTTTGTTTAGTTAGCAGTAATTAAACTTTTTGGACAAGAGTGAAGGTTTTAACTGTAAGTCCAAAATTCTTAATTTTATTCTGAAATTTGTATAGATTGATTCCAAAAAGAACAAGTTTTAATTATTAACTTCTAATAATCAACCTTCTAGAAAAATGTTATGTGATTATGTAAGTCTTGGATCAAGACATAGTAAAACTAAACCTGACACTCCTCACTCTTCAGCTTATTTTTTGACAAGTCTGTGTGAACAGTAAGGGACCACTGCAGTTTTTATACAGCCTTCCTAAAATGCACTGTTTGCCAACACTGCTATTTATTTATTTTACACATTATTACGATTAAAGGATTAAGACTCCCCTACTTCCTGTAGACTACAGAAAGTGAAAAATCACACTCTTGTGTGTGGGGGGTGATGGTTTTGAACACCCCGTTGTACTTAGTCTTAGGGTTTTAATGCCATTTGACAGTTGCCTTTGGGTTGCAAGTCAGAGGCTGGAGATGGAAGAAAGAAACCTCACCTCAAGATCCAGAGGACCCAGGAGTCTCAAATATTTGTGATCCACGAAGGGTAGTCATATTACTACCTTGATGCTTCATGATTGTACTTAATACACGACTCCAGAAAACTGAATTGGGCCTGATGCTTGGATCCATGCTTGTTTGTCAGACTATATCTCCCTTTCATGCCTCTCTCAGCCCTTTTCCTCTACCTAAGAAAGAACATTTCTCAAGATGGGGTTAACTACCAGTCTAGCACGACAGCCAAAGATGAGCAGAGGTCAGATCTAGGATGCACACTTACCAGGCCTAGCAGTGCCACCCAGAAAACCCAGTGTGTGGCTCTCAGCAAACTGGCTCCTGAGTCAGAAGCAACATAGCTGCATCACAGCATTGAGGGCATGCTCATTAGAGCTTTCTGAACTGTGACACCATGTTAATAAACTGGTCTCCACAACTTTTGCCTGTGGTAACTTATGAGCTTCCCAGTTGAAAGGACTGACTGTAATTTCCTATATTTTATTTTACTGCTGAGAGCATACCTAAGACATGAGCCAAATCATTTTACAACATGCAAAAAAGCTGCTTTGCAAATTTCTTGTTTTTCAACATACAGGCATTTTCTGAGAAAGGGAAAAAAAAATGCTTACTTTACAGGAGCCCTGGCATAGACCTGTAGCCAGTCTGGAATCTCTGCAGTGTGGTATGGATTTGCAGGTACTAGGAGGGGCTGGCTTTTTTCAGCTTGCTGAGGCTGATAGGTCACTGGAGGAGGTTGATCGTATCGGGGAACACTATATGAAGAATAATATAGAGATAAACAACAGATTTCTATTAAACTAGGAACCTCAAAAAGCAGTAACACTTAAGCATATTAGAAGCATGAATTCTGAACAAAGTGTCAATCAAAAATGTTGATTAATCCAGTCATTTATGGACTGGACTAATCAATGGGAGTCATACATACAGACTGATGGTACTGTTGCATAGTGGGGTTAATTCCAGCCTTCTTTAACTGGGAGGAGACCCTTCTATTGTAGTTTTTAGTAACTGCATTACTACTCACAAATGTAACCATCGCTACAAATCTATCATCATATTGTAAAAATTCATCATGCAGTACTTCACCTCCTGCAGTTACTGAAATGGGATCTCAGTCTAAATAAAAACAAAAATGATTTTAAGAAGTATGGAGTGCTGCCACGCAACACCCCATGCTGCCGCTGTTTTGTCTTTTCTCACTTGGCCTCTGTTATAGTGGGGAGTAAGGCCACCACTGCCATGCTGGCCTCCCCCCACCCTCCCCCTCGCTGCTTCATGCTCATTTTTTTTTTTTTTTTTTTTTTT